TTAGGTATATATTCGTCATTTTCATATCATATTGGAAAGATTACTAGCTCAGCATTAAGAGTTGTAGACTTTGTTAATAAAGCTGCCAAATATCTTAAAAAACCGTCTATAGTAAACCGTTTCTCTAGTACGTCCTAAACTGGAATATTATAGTAATATCTGGTCCCCATATCATTAGTATCAAATTATAACGATCGAAAGAATACAACACAAATATCGGAGAACAATGGCTCCTCTTTTGGGGGGACACCCTCCATCCCGGCCCTCACAGACCACGACTACACTCGCATGTTGTTCTAGCAGACTCGATCTTTATGTATAAAATTTTAAATGACGTCATCTCATTTCCTGAGATACTGTCCCTCATTAATTTTAGTATTCCTCGATCGACGATTTATTCCATCGAGAGCCCCACAGCATATCTTACGCCATACACAACGATCTTAACAGAATGATTATAAACGTAAATAATTGTTGCCACTTGTTCGATTTCTCTATGGATTACGCGTGTAATATCAATGCGGTCGATTGATGACCGATTAGGGAAATCTTCCACGTGTAATTAAAAATGACTGCTTAATTTTATCAAGATTTGCAAGAGGTACGAATGTTGAAGAAGTAATTGATGCCATATAAGCTTGCTTCGTAATTTTTGTTTAATTGAATGAAATACTTTAATTTTATGAAATTGTTGAGGTTTCTGACACGGTCGTGGAAGTGTTAAATATAACTAAATAAGTGCATAAATAAGTGTTAAATATGTATAACTGAAGGGATTTCTACCGCTTGTAATAAAATATTATTTTTTCTATATTCTCAAAATGTCTAATCATCGGTGACTTAATTTTAACGAATTAAGTCGCCGAATTTTTCAGCTCCGACCGCTGTGTGCGGCGGTCTGGCGATCATCATCATAGGGACACTGCCCTAAGAAGAAATCATCGCGTGATGACGATCCTCCGGCAGCCGTGACCTAAGAGCCCAGGCTAATTGTTTCTCTCCGGCTTTTGTACGGATCATTAAACGCGGACTTGCCTCCGGGGTGTCGGATCTCTGTGAAACAATTTTTCGCGGCCAATCAATTTCCTCTTCCCGTTCGTTTATCATAGGAAGCGATAAATTAGCAAGGGATCGGAAGGTGAGAGACACGTTCAGGCTGGGACTACGCCAGAAAAATATCTCAACATTCGCAACGGGATCCGGTCTGCAAATCGAGCAAACCCGAGCGGGATCCTGCAACGATGCTCGGTTCGACGAGAAACGCTCGCGTTTGCCACGCAACGGTACGCGTTTCCACCGTAATTTTTCCACCATGGTTCCCATGGTCGTCTGTGGCTCGATCGTATTTCTTCCTGATCATAATCACCGGGAAACCGAGATCGCGAGATGCACGGGACGTCAGGCATCGTTCAGAGGAAAAGTATTGCAGATAATATCTGCGATAGTGGATTGAAAAGAACTATAAATGCAGTCTATGGGAATTTTAGTTTTGTTTGAACTTATTTAATTTAATTAGCTTTATTATGATTGGACTACGGATCTCCATGTAAAATGAAAGGTTTATGCATCAGTTGCAGGAAAATGAAATAAAAATACACACCTCGGTTTATAAGTTATGTGATCATTTACTATTTTTAATGAATAAGTGATGAATATATAAGGTGAATATAAGGTTTTATAGCATTAATTCACAATGTATCAAATCATAAACAGAAAAACATCTAGTAGAGGTAAATTGGGTGATTAATTATTTAAATTCTTCGAGTAATTAAAACTATAATAGAGACACTGTGGAATCATTTAGAGCGAGAAGTTCGGAAAAAGTATCCAAAATCTCAGAAGCATTCATGAGAATTATTATAAACTGAATGGAAGAATATTTCTTCGGATATAATGAAAACATTGGTAGCTAGGATGCCAAAATTAATTAAAGAACTATCAAGTGCACGCGGCGGGTACATCGGCGAAAACAAAATTGCATTTTGGTTATTACTGGTTCATTACTGGGTATTATTGGTCAAAATACAACGAATAATGCAAAAAGATTGAAGAAGTACTAAGTTTTGAAGTTGCCTGTTTGTCTGTCAAAATAGAAAATGAGAATAGGAGATTAGAATAAAATGCATTATAATCACTGAATTATATTTATAGAACTAATGAAGTGAAATTAACACTTCGCCTGCTGCGTCACCGACGTGTGTATGATGAAATGATTTGCTCAGATTTGAAAATTGATTTTTACGCTAAACTGGGATCCGCAAATCGTAAGAATGTTGAGAAAGTAATTGATATCATGCAAATTAATTTTTCATTTTTAATTCGATTGTTAAAAATGTTTCAATAATATGAAATTTTTCAAAGTGCTATATAGAAGTGTAAGATACTACTATTCCAAGACACAACACAAATAAAACGATGATAAACGGATCGATTTGCAATGGGGGCGGGAGATCTAGAAAAAGGAAATTAATCAGTATCTATAACTAGTTTACTTATTTCATGTATAGACAAATGGAATAGAATTTTACAGAAGTTAGTAAAGCATACAGTTCAACAAAGTCACTTCAAGCTTCATTTCTAATTTTTGGATGTTGGCAGCGGAAAAGTGAACTTCTGTTTCAATTAAACGTTTACCCAGTCTATAGATACGTGCTGCGCGTGATAGCAGCTATACGAATATACATACTCTTTGATCTTTGTACTAAAAGTCATTTACCGTGACAGAATTTCAAACAATCATTTATAATTACTATATGCTGATCCTTCATTCATGAAAGATGCAGAGAAAGAGGAACGAAGATCCGAAAGTAATATGAAGTTGAAACTCATCCTCTACTGTGAAACCAAATAATTACTACTAGTTGAATAAATTGGTCTCGAAAAAGGTCAGTCAGTGACACTAGATTATTCCGCGTTCATTTGGATAACTCCGTTCATGAATATTTAGCAGCTTAAAGAACACATCATTTTAATCTATGTATATATCTTTTTCGGGACAAATTTAATTGCTTGAACGTACACGCAATCTAACATATTTTACAGGGAACGATTCTACGTTGGAAAACGAATCGAAAACGTAAAACAAAGTTTTTTAAAATAATACAAGACGATAGGGTTCGCGCATTCGACTATCTACGCTAATAAGTAGAATTGGTCGGCCACGAACAGATGAGTCAGCCAATTCATAATGCGGGCAAGTCTTCATTTTCGACTGCCTCAAATGTTGTTCTGCATTTTCAATTTACTTTTGCAACCAGATTCCTCCTATATCCAATTCACAAGATGAATGACCTAACATCTGTAAATATCTCCTATATACCCAATGATACAAAGACACCTCTAAAAAAATGCTTTTAACAATATGGCAATTATTGTGACAGAAACGATCTCTTCCTCAAGGTCACATTTTTCGATTCACCTCAGTCACCTACACCTTTCTTAATGCAGTCATACAATTTGATTAATATGTAAGGTTCTATCTAATAGGAAGAAAAATGCAACAACGTATTTCAATGTTCTCCAAATGACCTCCGGAGAGGGTGCTGATCGGAAAAGCGCGAGCCTACGTATGAATTGTAATGTACCGGTTATATTGATCTAAACACTGAGTGAGTCATTGTATGCCTGACTCGAATGCGCTTGACTTCTTTATATGGGAAAGATTAAAACTATAGCGCGCGCGCGCGCGCAAAGAGGTACCTTCAACTGCCGACGTGGAAACACCTATCGTTTCCGAGGTATTGAATAATGTGCCGCCTCTTTTCTGACCACCGTTTCGAATACAGGAAGATATGTCTGTCAACAATTTACGGTAGAATAGTCCAATTTGAATCAACACGTAAGCTGACAAGTAGCAATTCGGACTTATACTCTTCTGCTGTACCACTTAAAAGCCACTTCAAAACACATTACCAGAACCAGATTCAAATTACAAATTTCCAATTACAAATTACAAATTATCAATCACAAATTGCAAATTGCGAATTGCAAATTACAAATTTCAAATTACAAATTGCAAATTGTAAATTGTAAATTACAAATTACAAATTACAATCAATCGCCTTTATAGTTAATAACCCTGCGATATTAATGACGGTTTAATCCAGCTGTTTCCGCTCACATTTTATGCTAAAAATCCTAGTAACGCTCGCGAGGTGATCTTTCTTTTGCAAAATTACTGAAGCCTGGGGTCTCGGACGGGGTGAGAAATCAGGGGCGCTCGAGAGCGTGTACCTGGCTCGAAATCTGGCGGATTCGGGTACGAGGATAATCGTTGGAATCGGCTCATCCGGAGCGTAGGCCGGCATCCGACATCGACATCCGATTCGGGAATTAATCGATCCCGTCCGCGGAAACGACAAAGACCGGCAGGAGCCGTTGGAAGGCGGAAGGCGGAAGGGCGCGATGGTTCTCTCACCGGCGCGGCGTGGGCGACGACTCGCGCGAGCCCGGACAGATCGGTGGGCGTCCACCGGTTCGCCCAATTGGTCGATCGGGCCGGTAATGGTCGGTGGGCGTCTGGTAAGCTCAGATGCGCGGCGTCGAGTGCGCACCTGGCTGCCTTTAGCCGGCTTGTTCCATGCATCCGAGAGCCGGCTCCCGGCTTCCCCCTTGCTCTTAGCCGGTGCTACTCGGCTAAGCCGCTCTGTCCATCCACCTCTCCCTGTCTCTCGTCACCTCCTCTTCCTCTCGTTCGACGATCGAGCTTGGCTGCGCGCGATCGTAATCAACGCGCGAGAACCCCGCGTCTTCGGGCTAGGCCCGCTAGCTAGCCTAGGTGCCTCCGACCCTCCCCTGCCTCGCCATCCTCGGCCTCTTCCTCGTCCTCTCGACGACCACGTCCTCCTGTTCGTCTTCGTCAGCGCCGCTCCGCACCACGGCGCCTTAAATCTTGATCTCACCTCGGCCGAGGAGGGTGGGGGTAAGGCTAGTCTGGGCGCGCTTCGATCCACCGAACGGAAGGCAATCTGCTCGAATCCGGCGGACCGCGAGCAGGTTGCCCTATGTACTCGAGTTTCCTCTTCGTCGGCGACCTCGACATCGGTGAACAGAGGTGACAGTGGAGAACGAGAGTTCAAGTGCGCCGGAACATCCCCGAAGCGAAGGACGAACTCGTAGACCCGCGGATCGGAGAAACTTGAAGAATAAACTAATCGAAGGTACTTCGAGTTCGAGCTTCCATCGGCTGGATCGAGGAGATCCGAAGAGAGGCAGGCGGAGGGAGGCAAAGGAGGCTCGTTACCTGAAATCTGGGATCTCACCTGGACGCGAGTAGTCGGTGCTGTTCCCGCGAGGCGTGACGAGGTGGGGGTAAGGCTAGTCGTTGGCGCGCTTCGAAACCCCGAACGGGAAGGCAATCTGCTCGAATCCGGCGGAGCGCGAGCAGGTTATCCCGTGGTGAGCGCGTTCGTTCGGTCGCCCCGTTATTGGAGAAGGGATCGGAGCACGGACAGACGGACGGGCGGTGTGAGAGAGAGAGAGAGAGAGCGAGAGGGAGAGGGAGAGAGAAGCAAGCGGCTGCGAAGCCGTGAAAGAAGCGGGAGTATCGGAGCAAAGACTGGGCAACACGGTGCGAGCGAGATCGAGACCAGAGGGAGAGGAAGAGAGCTCGAGCTTGTGTTATAGGAGACGAAGCGGAGGGAGGGACGAAGAGAAGGGCAGACACACGTCTATAGGAGGTAGTCACGAGCTTGGACGAAGCGCCTGCGCTCGCGAGCACTCCTCTCGCCGTGCGTCGCCTGCTCGCATCGACCACGCTCTCGTCCACGTAGACGAGGCCCGACAGACAGCCGACGTGAAAGCTCGCGCCACGATGAATCGCGCTCGCCGTCGGCCCGCCAGACAGGATGTCATTCTGCTTCGCTAATCGGACACAGGAAGCCACGCCGGACCGTGGCGTCGATTGCGCTCGCGCGCTCCTGCGCCAGCGCGACGGGCACACGTACACGGCCGACGACGACGACGACGACGACGACCGTCCGAGAAACCACCAGCCCCTTGTTGTGTTACCTGTGTGACAACGCCGCTGTGTGTGGGTGCACGCGAGGACCAAGAACAGCCGAGCCGAGGCGAGCCGAGCCGGGCCGGGCCGACCTGAACTGAAGAGCTGTGAAACTGTTCGCGACCCCGGAACAACTTTGCCCGTTTTCGGCCGTCGATTTCGACTGGTACCGTTCCACTCGTGACTCGGGTAATCCATTCCGATCGCAGACTAAAACGCGCCGGGAACGGTTCTGTCGCCAGGGGTGGATTCTTCGGGGTGGAGTGGGTGGCTTTTCGGGGGAGGATCGCCCCCGCCTGAGGCTGGATGCGCCGTGAGTAACCGTCGGATGCGAGAGCAGGAAGAGAAACGCCTCGAACATAGGGTCGGCTTTGCTGCAGAAGTGGAGGAGGCGGAGGGGGAGGAAGAGGAGGAGGAGCTGCTGGTGCTGCCCGGCGTGGAGGGGCTGGAGGTGATCGTCTGGTGATGATGATCGGTGGCGGCATCGCGACCCCTCCTGGTACTGCCAAGTCGGCGGCTGCGATCGACAGCAAAATGGTGCAGGTCGACGGCATTGGCAGTGGTAGTGTCAGTGGCAGTGCTAGTGGTAGTGGTAGCCCTGCGACAGGCGCGACTACTACGCGTCTCACTGGCGGCAACAATGCCGCCGGTAGCAACAACAACAACAACGGGGACGTTGCGAACAATAACAATAACAACAACAATAACGATGGACATCCGGTGGTTAACAGCGGCTCCGCCCAGCCAGCGGACAAGTTCTGCTGCCACGACGACGATGCGCCAGTCAGCACCGGCGTCACGCGACCTTGGGAACCACCCTCGCCGACCTTCTCGCAGACCAGGTCCCATCTACTGCCGGTACATCCGCCGCATCCCCATCAGCATCCGGCCGCCCATCACCATCAACAGATGACCGTGCCGCCTGTCTCTCTCATCGACGGTTAGTTCCTTGCATTTTCGCTGTCATTAGCTAGATCCTAACCGTGTATCGCACGCGTTGTCAATCGGCACCGAAGAATGTTCTTTGTTTGCTACTTGTAATCAGTCTTTTTGATTGTGTAGACAATGATCTTTTAGCAGTGCGACATTCGGTTAGCACGGAGGCTTAACTCGTGGTCACATTTGCTCTACCGAGCCTATGTTACCTTTGCTACTTTTAGAACATGTTTGCGTTGGAACTGCGCAGGGTAAAAATGCCCTTCGTGCAGTACTGTGTTTTATACTTATTGTCAATATACACAAGTATTGTTCCGTAACAGAGCAGTGAACTTCGGAATTACTTGTCTTTGAGAAACTTTAAATGACTGCAATCATGTTATTACACTAGTTGTACTATAAACACATGAAAGAATGCATCGATAAAACGCTTGTAGGTTCTGTAATCGATACACTTATAGCTTTTTTTGCAGCACCAACATAAACGTTCCCTTAGATTCACTTGATTGGTTGCCAGTTCTATTGCAATCTCGGGGTATGAATCGCAGTGCTCGATGTAGATTGCAATTTGCAGATCATAATCCAAGGTACTTTGCATAGTGTTTAACGCCATTAGAAGCAATCTTAATCGCGAATCGAGAAGTCGCTTCTAGTAATCTGATATTCCTTTTAGGATCGTTGTCTAAAAAAAGACTTTTAAGCTTCTTGCCGACATTATCGTTCAACTCAGAATCCACTGAAAATCCTATTAATCCCAAGCTGTTCGATTTCTTCCGCGTTCACAGTCATTAGGACTTCAGTCATTATACGATTGCAGTGTCCACCAATAGGGCGAGTTCAGTACTTTTCAAACCATTTACTTTGCTGAGGCAAATAGATGACAAACACGTCGCTCAATGTCTTGTCTTACCTTTCCTCGTTAATAAATACCTACTTATCGTCGCACGCATCCGATCCGCCCCCTTTTCATCCGAGATACACTCCCTCCATAATTTGCCAATCAATGTTCCTAGATTCGAAGACCTCCAGGCGTGAATTTCTTCCAATTCTCCTCGCGAACCAACACGTGTAGTTCGCTAAGTATTTAATAAACATGAGGATAGGCGCTTCCGAGGCTGTGACTCCGAATAAAGCGGTTTTTAATGATGTTCTATGCGCGATCGACGAGTTAAAGACTCCGAGGCAAACAAAAGCGAGCCAATTAAGTCGGAGCGTCCCGCGGCGTTGTTCTCTTTATTAGCGGAATTGCGCGTCGCGTGAATTCCGCGATTAATCGACGACCAGCTGGAACACCTGAGCATACTGTCGCGATTATCGGGACGTCAGGGCTAATCGATGAAACACGGCCGTCACGCCTCGCATCGCACGGCGAATCTGCAAAATTTCCATGGATAGCGAACACTTGAGATGGCCGGACAACAGTTTTTTACTCGTGGCGGCAATATCGGCCGTAATTAAATTTAATTGGACAACCGTTTCTGTTGGTCGCGTTACCATCGAAAATCGGTAAGATCGCCCCTTGGTTTTTGCAAGCCGTGCTCGACACTTCGGCACGCTCGCGTCGCCACAAAAACGAATCGGGAACCAATGTGACCAGACACGAAAAGAATGCTATTCTTAATTGTTCGCGTTCACCAGTTTTTCTGGACGCGGACGGCTGAAAACCAACAACCTTTGTCAACTGGTGACTGCCGCGCCGAATTCGTGCAATTATTTGATACCGGATCGATGGTCCTCGATTTATTTTTGTCGCGCACGTCTGTCAGACCGTGGATTTTTATGCGGAAGAAACGTTGACTGCATTTTATCTTGCGAGTGCAAGAAACTGGTGGTAAAGAGAAATCCTGAACTGTTGAACTGTTGATCTTGAACTGTTTTGTTGATCGTTATTTTTGTCACGAATCCATAAAATCCACAGAATACTTGTGATTAGACAACGGATCTTTATACAACGTTCGTGGCATATATTGATTTGTAAATTACGTGAAAATGTCTATAACACGCAGAATTGGTAGAAACTACTCGTTGAGACATGAATATATATATGAAATCTGTTGGCTATTCATGATATTTGTGGGCGTCCGGAAAGAAAGACAGTTTTCTCATACAAAATAGACCATATTCATGATATGAACCTTACTCTAGATTATTGTAGTCAAATATAATTGAGAATCACAATAGGAATCAATTCCATTAAATTATATTCTATGTTCATCTTATCATAGATTATAAATAGATTGCCAATTTTAAACATTTATGACAGAAATTATAAGAACAATTGAATACAAGAAAAAGGTTCAAAAAATTTGCGAATATCACTGTGTACATTGAAACAGACTGTGTAATATTGAACAATAGTACGAATAGGAAAAACTTCAATGCAGGAACATCTTCCAACACACTTTCAATTTTCAATTCTCCCTTTGTGCGCATCATCGTATCGTATCGCTGTTGCGTATCACAATTGCATACCTATCCGTATGCAATACGCAACGCTTGTCCGTTCACATTGATACGCAACGATGCACAGTGGTTTAGAACTACGAAAATGCGAACTAAAGTCAAATTTTCAAGCTCCTTGAAATTTAATGAAGTTATGCTTACGGGTTTCTAAATATATGAACTAAGTTGCAGTTTTGCCAAAGCTTTGAAAATAGAGAAGAAATACTTCTTGTTCTAACGTTACGCTTAGCTTAAATTGGCATGATTTTCCTCGTTATATTTTTTCATGAATAGGAATATAATTATAGCTGTTAATGCAGTATTGAAGAACGTTATTTTAGCCAAATATACGCTACAAAAGCAAAGTGATAGACATATTTTAACCCTATGAAAATGAGTTCTCCCGAATGCTTAGTTTTCGTTTTAGTTATCGTTACAAAACGGATGTCACAAGGCATCACGATGAAACTTATCAGAATGTTTTCGTTATAAGCCATTGAAAATAGCTGAATGTGAACTTTTTGCAGTCACTTGCAGTTGTGTAAGTTCTAACAATATACAGTAATGGCCAGTTACTTAGGACCATTGGTTACTTCAGCAAATAAATACCATTAATATATTATTTAATGGATGTTTTATTTTGAAAGAATATATATAATATACACTAGAGTATACTTTATCTGACGAATCTGATAAACATAAAAGTAGAATGAGCTTAGGTGGGAAAGAATATGTTAGATGCCGCGTAACTGTAGAATTTTCCTCAAAATATATGTAAGACACATACAGTGAAAGGTGCAGGGACATCGATAAACGTGTGGAAAGCAATAACATTCCAAGGTGTTGGCCCTTTATACAGAATTTGCGATATTATGGATCAGCAAGTTTATTATGGATATATTAATGACGTACTTATTTCATTTGTTAATAATGAAATGCCAAGGAACTGGATCTTACTAGACGACTACGATCCAAAATATACAGTTCGCAGAGTAAAAGAATTTTTAAATCAGCAGGGTATAAAAGTACTGAAATGGCCTTCCTAGTCCCCTGACATCCAATCCTATTGAGATGTTGTGGATAGATGTAGATAAATATATTAAGAACAAAATATCAAGCAACTTAGACCAACTTTATGCTGCTATACAGAAGGGATAGAGCAATATTTCAATCGGACCTTATCATCGTTTAATCAGTTCAGTGCCAAAGGGTTGTGAAGAAATAGTACGATAACACGCGCTATTAACTAAGTTTTACTTGTTGTTTCTAAGCTTAATTTGTTTCCACCAATGTTTTGATTATGTTTTTGTTATGATCATACTTCATTTCATATGTGTTTAATAATATCAATCTTGATTCGATCTTACGTAGTCGAACACATAAGTAAAATGGCTTGAAATCAGAAAATAATAAAAGTTTCTGTAATGTATAAGTTAAAGACAAAAGTATATATTACTGTATATTATGTACAGTAACTCACGAAAGTATTCGAACACCTTATAAAACGCAATAACTTTTTTCAAACTGTGCTAAATGACTTGAATTTCTTTTAGGCGATAGAGGGACTAATTCACGAGACAATAACTGAAATGTATTTTCTAAATTTTGCTCTTACTTGAAACGACAAAAGAAGTAAAAAAATCTTTCTTTAACTTTTTTATCTGAACTTATAACAGACATTTAGAAACTACCTTTCCAAGATCTCGGTAACTCATGTGCATGCTGAAAATTTTATCGAAAAAGGTTAACCCAGAGTCAAGCTATAGTCAAGATACGCTTTTGGTCAAAAATGTCAAAAATCGGGACAAGATTGCTATTTTAGCAATCTTTAATTATTCGTAACTCATAACAACGTCAACCAATTTCGATAAAATTTTCAGCATGCATATAAATTACTACCGAGATATACGAAAGGCATTTTTTAAATTTTTGTTACAAGCTCAGATAAAAAAGTTCAAATAAGAGCAAAATTATTATCGAAAAAACAAAATTCGAATATGTTCAAATGTTCGAATACTTTCGTGAGCTACTGTATATTTTTTCTCATGAAATACTTACTTTTTATATTCATTAAATACTATAATATTAATGGTGTTTATTTACTGAAATAACTAACGGTCTTAAGTAACGAGCCGCCACTGTACATATGTGTTGTCAAATCATTGACCGTCAGGCGTCGTTCATAAAGCAATCTTGCGACAACAAAAAATCTAATAATGTTGAAAAATTCGACCAATAAATACAAAATTGTGCAATTGGTACTGTATGCCAGTTTCGACATATAAAATCATCTTTTATGGAACGAGCGTTATTAAGGAAGCTTTATGACCAATTGGGCAACTTTCAGAAGCGACCCAAGAGGCAAGAAATAAAGATATAAAATGTTTCAAGGAGCACCCCACACACGGAAATGTTCAAGAGTAAAAACCGATGAAGATCTGTTCCGACGACTGCTGTTAATTTCGGATCCCCACTTAACTTCTTTCGCCCATATTCACCACAAACATAGAATTACAGACAAAGATATCTCAGATTTTTTAATTATACCTATCAACAGATACT